TCTTTTAAAATGTTTGAGTTGCCGGGCTCGGTGGCTCAGCCTGTAATCCCGCGCCTTTGGGAGGCTGAGGTGAGCGGATTGCCTGAGCCCGCGGGTTTGAGACCCGCCCAGCAGATTGAGGCTGTGGTGGCCGGGAGCGGCCATTGCACTCCAGTTTGGGTGACTGAGTGAGACTCCAACTCAAAAAAAAAAAAAAAAAAAAAAAAAAAATTGAGTTTCTTGGCTGGGTGCTGTGGCTCACGCCTTTAATCCCCGCAGTTTGGGAGGCTGAGGTGGATGATTGCTTGAGCCCAGGACCCTTTGTCTACCTAAAAAAAAAAATCATAATTTAAAAATATATATAATAAAAATATTTGCATTTGTAATATGTAGCATGTCATCAGTATTTATAAGTGTTATGTGTATGCTTGTCAGGAATGCATATTCTATAGCTGTGGGCACACTCTTTAATTACATTACATTTAACCACAGCCTAGTTAATTACATTGTTTAAATTTGTGTGTTCTTACTGTTTTTTAAAAATCTACTTGTTCCATTAATTATCAAGGTTAAATTCTCCCTCTATCATTGTAAATTTGTCTATTTCTCCTTGTGGTTGTGAAAACTCTGCCTTACGTGTTTAGTGGCCATAGTAAGCGTATATACGTTTAAAATTGTCACAGCTTTCTAGTATATTTAACCTTTACCATTATGAATGTCTCTCCATTTTAGAAGCATTTTTTGCCTTAAAATATACTTTATCTGTGAAATGATTAACTTTCCTAAAATTTCTGGTTATTTGCTTCTATTATAGCCCAGTACTATTTGTATTAATATTTCAGAAACAAAATAAACATGGCACTTTACTTTTTTAGAGTGTCAAACAAATGTATACTTTATCTGATATTAATGTAGTTCTACCGTCTGTCTTTTGATGAACATTTGCAATTTTTTTCTTCTTTTTCTTTCATCCTTTCTGTGCCCCTTGTGTTTTAAGTGTGTCTTGTAAAAGAGCATACAGTTGGGTTCTGTTTTCTCTTTAAAGTTTTCTTTTATTTGGAGCATTCATTTTGTATATATTCAATTATTAATATGTTTGTTTAAATCTATAATCTTACTGTTCTTTGCTTTCCTGCTTGCTCTAGGTTTCTTCTTACTGTCTTACTTCCCTTCTAAAGACCAATGCTTCCCAACAGAGGGTGGGGTGACAGGGTGCATGTGGCAATGTGTGGAGATGCTTTACTTTTACCCCTGGAAGATGGTGCTCCTGGATCTGAGGGGTAGAGACTAGGAATGCTGCTGAACATCCTACAATGTACAAGATAACCCTAGCAGCAAAGCATGACTGCAGATGTTGTAAAATGCTAGTAGTGCCAAGGATGAGAAACCTTGTTCTAGAATGTGTGAATTACTTTAAAATTGTCCACCCTTTTAGTATTCTTTAATGGCTATCCTAGAAAAGGTTTTGACAGGCTGTCATATAGTAAATATTTTGTGTTTTTAGAATGTGAATGGTCTCTGTCATTTACTCATTTCTTCTTGCTCCCCCCCACCCTTCTCCCTTTCCCTCCTTTTAATAGACCACTTTTTAGAGCAGCTTTAGGTTCACAGCAAAATTGAGCAGAAGGCCCAGAGGGTTCCCTAGTACACCCTGCCCTCCCCACCCCATATCCTCCCCCACTGGCTGCATCCCATGCCACAGTGGTACATTGGTTACAGCCAGCAAACCTACACCAACAGATTATCAACCACAGACCATAGTTTACATAGGGTTTCCTGTTGATGTTATACAGGCTTTGGGTTTCCATGCATGAATGTTGGCATGTGTTCCTCATTATAGTGTCATACAGATGTTTCACTGCCTTAAAACTTCTCCGCCTATTCTCTCCCTTTTCTCCAACTCCTAGTGACCACTGATCTTCTTACTGTCTCTGGAATTTCACTTTTTCCATGGTGTCGTAGAGATGGAGTCATACAGCATATTGTCTTTTCAGACTGGCTTCCTTCACTTACTAATACACATTGATGGCTTCTGCACATCTTTGTGTAGCTTGATAGCTCATTCATTTTTAGCACTGGATGTACTAGTTTATTCATTCACCCAGAGAAGAACATCTTGGTTGATTCCAAATTTTGGCAGTTAGGAATAAAGTTGCAAACATATGTGTGCAAACTGTCTTTCAAATATACCATTTTACCTTCCCACCAGCAATGCACAAGAATTCTTTTTGCTTCCCATCCTCACCAGCATTTGGTTTTGTTACTGTTAACCTTAAACAAAAATATACAGAGATGGGTCTCCAAGCAAAATATTTATTTGGGAATAATAAACAAGAATTAGAATTTGGGGTATATAAACCAGGGTACCTTAGTGTGTGAACAGCAAAGGGAGAAACAGGGGTTTTATTGGACAATAAAAGAGGATGGTTGCATAAGTAGCTTTGAAAGAAAGTTCATGGGCACAGTGTTTTATAGGAACTTCTGATTGGTGAGTGGCACAATTACTAGGCATGATGTAATCCTAAAGTTACAGTTAGGACTGTGGTATTTCTGTTGAATTGCCGAAACAGTTCCTGGAACTAGGATCTGGCTATCCTTCCCCATGGTCTCCTGACCCCATTTTAGTTAAGTTTGGTGTGAATGACTCCATTTTATATAATTAGCTTTCACATTTTCCCTTTTTTTATCAAGATATTTTTTCCAAAGCGTTGCTGGTCAACCATTTTGGAAATGGGCTTAGTTGTCCCTGGAACCAGGATGAACCTGTCCTGGTTGGTCTGGTCCCACCTTTGAGGGAGAAGTATAGGAGTAGATGTCCAGGACCCAGGCCACATTTGAGCAACAAAGAGGTCGGGGTAAAAGTCCCCTCAGAGCAGGTCTGGAGTTCAGCGTCGAGTTTTATTTTATTAGCTCCATAAACGTTAGTAATTTCTCAAAACATCAGGCTAACATTATCCTGTTGGGAAAGAGAACTTTACAAAGATTAGACAAGCAACAAGAATAGAACTTAAAGGTTATAATGTGAAGAATAATCAGCAACATATAACAAGTCTGGTGTGAGTTATCATTCTAAACCTTGAACCTAGTCTTGAAAACAGCCAATTGAACAGATAAAAAGTTCAGGTGTACTGGGTGGAACTTGTTGGAGCCAGGTAACTTGCTCTCTTATCTTTTTTTTTTTTTTGAGTTGGAGTCTCACTGTCACCCAGACTGGAGTGCAGTGGCTGCTCCCGGCCACCGCAGCCTCAACCTGCTGGGCTCCGGCGATCCTTCCGCCTCAGCCTTCCGAGTAGCTGGAACTACAGGTGTGCACTACCACGCCCGGCTCATTTTTTGATTTATTGTAGAGATGAGGTCTCACCGCCCAGGTGGGTCTCGAACCCGCGGGCTCAGGCAATCTGCTCACCTCAGCCTCCCAAGGCATGGGATTACAGGCTGAGCCACCGAGCCCAGCAGCAATTTCTTTAAAAAAAAAAGAAAAAGAAAAAAACAGGCCAGGCATGGTGACTCAAGCCTATATCCCAGCACTTTGGGAGGCCGAGGCGAGAGAATTGCCTGAGCCCAGGGGTTCGTGACCAGCCTCGGCAACTTGGTGAGACCTCATTTCTACAATAAATCAAAAAATTAGCTGGGTGTGGTAGTGTGTGCCTGTAGTTCTGGCTATTTGGAAGGCTGAGGCGGAAAGGTCACCTGAGCCTTTCAGGTTGACGCTGGGGTGGCCGTGAGCATGCCACTGCACTCCAGCCTGGGTGATGGAGTGAGACTCCAGCTCAAAATAAATAAATAAATAAATAACAAAGTTTGCTGCATCAGTTGATACTGCCTTTCATGAAAGATTTTTCTGTTGCATGCAATGCTATTTAATAGCATTTTACCCACAGTAGAATCAAAATTGCATGACAGTTTTATGATCCAATTTGTTAATTCCTTGGTAAATGTATATTCTTGACAGGATAATTTTGTGGTTGCTGCTATAAATAGTGTGTTCTGTATTTATAAAGGTTCAACTCCAATGCATGTTTAACATAAAAGCAAGGAGTAAAGTGTCCTTAAAGGATGTTTCCCCTCTTAGATTATAATTCCACGGAATCTAAGTAATTCGGTTATAGCTTAAGGATTTTCTTATGTAGTAATGCAGATAATGCACTGATTTATCAGAGATGGTCTATTTCAATCAAGATTGAGTAATTTAATGTTGTTTTCTATAAGCCAAAGATCTTTTCTTGTTATAAGAAAAAATAATTTAAGCTCACGACTAAGGAGGTATTCTATCAGGAAAATATATGTATTTATAATGACCTAGGGAAAGATTAGTGGAGTTAAAGGGGATGGACTATTAAATTAAAATTTTTGTTAAATTTTTACAATAAGAACACTTTTTAAAAAACCATTTTTTAAACTTCTAGATGCAATAAGCATTTAGTTACTTTTATAATACTGGGTCAGTGCTTTGGGATAGGTGAGATGATTTAGTTCTCCGTTCTTAGCACAGTGTGTAACATATAGGGGTTGATAAATATTTATGTGTTCACCGATTTCTTATGTGAATCTGCAGGCTGGATGCAGCTGTCAAATAAAAGACCCTTAAAAGCATTAATCTTGAACATAGTTGCTTGCTAAAGGTCATCTTTGTGAAGACCACGATTCGCCACAGCCACTTGCCAGGCCCCAGTGGCTTTTTCTCCGATATGGGAACGTGGGTTTTGTACCAGAATCCACCCTTGAGGTGTTCTGTGTTAGTGCCTGAAATTTGACTGTGGTTTGTGAATATAGGAGTACCTAAACTGGAAATCTGTACTTCTAGGGTAGTTAAGTTAATAATTGAGGATGTGACTTTCATGATGGAAGTAAAAAAGAAATTAAGGTAAGATTCAGCTTTATATTTACATTTTGTTTTATGAACAATTGAAAATCTATAATTGGGCTTTGTTATAAATGTGATATGAAGAAGAAGTGATAATATGTAACACCAAAGGAAAGTTGAGTTCACTGATCATGAATTAAGTTTATTTCTTGTGCAGGTACAATTTGGCCTCTTGAGATTCTTCCTTAGCAAGAAAGAAGTGGGAATATTCTTGGATGGAAAATTGAAACAATAAGAAAGCCCGAACTGATTTTTACATGGTTGTTAGTTCATTTACCAATATGGACACTCTTCCCAACAATTTTCTTCCTGGTGGAGATGGTGGACTGACAAATTCTCAATCTGAATTCCAAAAAATGTTAATTGATGAAAGGTTACGATGTGAACATCATAAAGCTAATTATCAGACTCTGAAAGCCGAACACACAAAGTAAGTTACTTAAATTTTGAGGAGGGACCTTCGTTAATAAAAATTATTGGAACCATCTTGGTTGAATGTTTGCTCTGGAACATTGTTCCACTGGAATGATTTTTGTCATTTTGCGATATATACATTTAAAACTTAATACAGTAAAATTTTTGTCTTAAAATTATTTCATTCAAAACTAAGTAGGATATCAAGTGGGTTATGAATTTATAAAAGTCTAAATTTGAGAGTAGCAAGACATATCAGATTAACTGTATTCAGGTAGCTAAAAGTGTTCTTCCCTGCAAAGTAAAAGTACATTCAGAAACCACAGTATTAGTAATGAAATGAAACTGTAAAGAAAAGATGTTTGCAAATTTCATGGAATATGTGATACTAGTCTTGTTTTTTGTTTCTTTTTGTAGTGTTTTGATTGACTTTAAATAAAGGAATGCAATTAGAATGCAAAGTATAAACTTAAAATGGAATTCTTCTTTTTTAAAAACTCAGGTTGCAAAATGAGTACATGAAGTTACAGAATGAACTCAGACGCCTGTCAAATGAAAAGCAAACTTACCAGGAAAAACTTCAGCTGATGCTTGAAGAGCTAAGAGGAGAATTAGTAGAGAAAGTTAATCACTTAGAAGAGATGAAGCAGCAGGTGAGAAGATATATTTGCATTTGTAACAGTAGTCAGACACTTGGTGGAGGCAAGTAGTTTTGGTAAATGTGACAGATTCCCTTTGTGTCCTTCCTGACTTTTTGCTCTACCTTAAGGTAGTATAATTTAATCTTTTCTCATATATCTTAGGATGTTAGCTACCATGTAAGGTAGCAATGAAGCAGTTATTTTATGTAAATTAGTATTATATTACCTATTCTGATAGTAATATTCTGCCATTCAGAATAATTAGGGGAAAGGTGAATTTGATGTGATAAAATTTAGAATTAAAGAATTTTTTTTTCTGTCTTCCTATGCCTATCGGTAAATAATATTTTTAAAGAAAGGTTTACTAATTTTTGTATATGTTTTGTTACTGAAACTAAACTAAAAAAGACTGAGTTATTTTTAAGAAGCTTCTTGAAAAAGAGACTGTAAGCACAGTGTGTACACATAATTTATATGCACGTTGTAAGGTGAATGGGTTTCTCAAGCAAAAGACAGCTGGTACTGAAGTACCAAACTACAGTTTGAGATATTTTTTACACTATTCATTTTCCATTTGGAAAATAGAGCAAAGTCAAACTTCAATTTACTATATGTTATAAATTCCTTACTGTATGTTACAAACTTAATGTATGATACACATTAGTAGGTTTTGATGAGTGATATTTCTTGTATTCATTTAATCTCTACAGAGCACCAGCTGTTTATTTCTGCCTGACTGAGAATGTGCTTGGTACAAATAATAAGATATTATTGATACTTTATTGCTGAGTGCATAGAGTAAGAAGGCATCCTTTACAGCATGTAGATTGGCATATCACCCAACTCTTAGACTTCCTGTGGCAGAAGCCTTTGAAGTTTGTCATTCAATCACTTTTTGATATCTTCCATTATTGCAAACACCACTAAGCCTGATTGGAGCCTCTATGCTGTTTCATTTCTAGTTATATTTAGGACATTTAAACAAACAAAACACCCAGAAATGCAAGTTGTAGGAGGGAAAGGTAATTTAAGCCTGTAACATCAGTGGATTAATTTGCTTTGCAAAACCTGAGAAGCGTATTTGAATGCAAGCTGTAAATGCAGAACCTGGGGCATTGGAGGTTCTCCAGGCCTTGCAAGTTGATCATCTGCCCCTCAAGAGTAACCTCTGAACATGTTTACTTGTACCAAGCACACACAGAAGGTAAGTCTAAGGCTGGAGTGGCTGCCGTCACATACAGCAAAACAGGCTTCCTGACAAATAGGGTCACTAGAGGTAAAAAGGACATTTATGAATGAGAAAGGGTTGATTCACCAAGAAGATGATGACCTTCAACAGGGAACTGTGTTGCTGTTCCTTAGTTGTCTCATGTAGTAGAGGGGATACAAGTTTCTACCTAACAGTTGTGAGGACTAATGGGGTGACATGCACATCTCTACTGCCATGGCTGGCACATAGTAAATACATCATTGTCATTTCTATTCTATTTGAATGCAGGCCCTGTGAGGGCAGGAACTTTTTTTCAGTGTCTCCTGTGCTGTGGACAGTGCTTAGCAAATACCTATTTGTTGAATGAATGACATAAATAAATGGAGTAAATGAGGGAGTGGGATCGTGTGGGTTCTGTTCATATATGATGTTGCCCTTCCTGTGTCATACATAGCTGCAACCTCAGCATCACAGAGTTGATAATCGTTTGCTTTCCTTCATGTCTGATGCAGGCTGAGTTGTGTCCCCCACAAGGATATGCTGAAGTCCCAACTCTTAGAACTTCAGAAGATGACTTTATTTGGAAATAAGGTTATTACAGATGTGATTAGTTCAGTTGGGGAGGTCATAGCTGGAGTTGAAAGTGAGTGGCCTTTAGTTCAAAGTGAGTGGCATCCTTAAAAGAAGAGGAGAAGAGAGATGGAGACGGATGTGCTTGGTGCAGGCTGTTTGATGATGGAGCAGAGACTGCTGTGCTGAAGTTCTGGGCTGGCACACCCCAGAAGCAGGGGGAGTGAGGAAGGCTGCTTCCTGAGGTTTCAGAGGGAGTGTAGCCCTGCCAGCTCCTTCATTTCAGATATCTGACCTCTAGGACTGTGAAACAATACTTTGCTGCTGCTTTCAGCCTGCAGTTTATGATACTTTGTTATGGCAATCTGGGAAGCTAACGCACTGTCTGAATCAGGATCCTTTTAGACCTCTTTCACATAGGACTCTTCATTCTTCTAGAACCTGGTTAAACTTTTATTGCTTGCTTGATTGAGCCAGGCTAGAGTGTGGCGGCATGATCATGGCTCACCACAGCCTTGACCTCCTGGGCTCAGTGATCCTCTCAGCTCAGCCTCTCAAGGCACACACTGATTTTTTGATTTTTTTTTTTTTGTAGAGATGAGTTCTTGCTACGTCGCCCAGGCTGGTCTCGACTCCTTGGCTCACATGATCCTCCCATCTCAGCCCCCCAAAGTGCTGAGATTACAGGTGTGAGCCACTATGTCCAGCCCCTAGTGAACTTTTTGAAGTGATCCAATTCCACTAATGGAGTGGAGTATGTTAGACATTTTCTCTCTCTTACTGAAGTGAAATTATCCTCCTTATGGCCTCTGTTGGTAACTTTAGGTATTCCTCCATGTGATCTCTTCCCAAATGTTTGCTGACAGATATAATTTATCTAGTAAAATTTCTGTTTTTTCTAAGATAAACATGTCTGCTTTCTATGTGATACTTATTTGTCACAAATAAGTTAAAGAAACATGTATACATATATATATACATACACAGAAGCAATTTAGCTATTCTCTTTAATGTATGCTTACAATTTGTGCAAACTGTAAGTTTAAGAAATTTAGTAAATTCAACAAAGATCAGCAAGAAATATTTCAATGAATATTTTCTTTTTTGTGCTCCCCATCCCCCTCAATTATTTTTAAAATATGCATGTGTTATATTGTCTAGTTTACCTGCAGAAATACCTTTTCTAAAATTTCATGTCATCCCTTTAGCTTTTGTAGGAAAAAGAATAAAAGACTTTCTACATCAGTAGTGACTGGGAGTGATAATACTGCATGGCTCCAAGGATTACTGTCAAGATGAAATTAGGCAGATCATGGGAAGTGTTGGCCAGGACTGGGCTGTAGTAAGGGGTCAGTACATGTTAGCTGTTACTGTTAGTATGTATCTTGTTAGCAGAACCTTTATATCCATCATTTGATATATCTTCTGATAAAATTTTAAAAACTTACCTTTACCAATAATTTATATGCTTTTTATGTGCCAGTGAAAAGTATATAACCCAGTATGTTTTCCGTTTTGTTTTGGCTGCTATGAGGCTCAGATCAAAATATATTACTCAATTTCAGTCATTAATTTATTTAGAATTTTTGGCACAGCAATATTTACCCTCTCAACTTAAGCGTATCTTATAGTACTAATATGGCAAGTGTTTCAGTGTTAAAGGTGTGTTTTTTTAGATTTAATATAGGTAATGGTACCTAAACTATTAATAGTGTGATAAATCATTCTTGGAAGTTTCTTTTGAGACAAGTAGTGTCAGTATGCCACTAGACGTCTAAGACACAGAATAATTTCTCCTAAAATGGAATGGGGAAAAATCCTCTCATTCTGTGTCTTTGGTTTATGTGTGTTTTGGGGTACAGGTGGGGGTGGGATAGGGTGAGGTCAGAAGGAGAAAGAGGGATTTTATTATGAGTGTACTTGTTTTGAATAAGCTTCCTAGGAGGCAGACAAACAAACAACAAAGTCATAGAGATCTTTTATCAGAGACCTCATAGGTGAGAAGACACCTGCACTCTTGTTTGCTGTTGGGTGACCCAGGCCAATGGAGAGATGTGTACCGTTAGAGGATTTGAAGTGCTGTTGTTTCCAAGAGGTATCTAGATGAAATGGAACATATAGTATTGGGAGCTGCATGGATATTGCATGCCTGCTTCACTAAACAGGCTGGTGAGTGAGTACAGATTAGTCCATTTCTGCCTTTATTGATTGACTGATTGATTGAGTCAAAGACTCATTCTATCACCCAAGCTGGAATACAGTGGCATGATCAAAGCTCACTGCAGCCTTGAACTCTCTGCAAAAGCTATCCTCTCCCTTTAGCCTCCTGGGTTTTGAAAACTGCAGGTACATGCCACCATGCCTGGCTAATTTTTTATTTTTATTTTTGTAGAGACAAATTCTTGCTATATGGCCCAGGCTGGTCTTGAACTTCTGGCTCAAGTGATCCTCTCGCCTTGGCCTCCCAAAGCGCTAGGATTACAGATGTGAGTGACTGCGCTCTCTCTGCCCTCTGTCTTCTGTGCCTTCTGCAGGTTGTCAGCAAGGTTTTTAGGAGAGTATTTGCTTTGCTGGACAAGACAGGCCCTTCCTGACAGTAAACTCCCTCCAGCCCTTTTTCTTTTGCTTTAAGTTAATATATGTATTTTATAATTTGTAAAACAGAGATAACAATTGTGAATATCAGAAATAACGCATGCAAAGTTCCTAAGTGCACTTTTCAGCATAATTGCTAAAGTATGATTCTTAACTTTTTAGGCACTCACAATTAGTGAAGGACAGATTATTTAAACATTAACAGGGCAACCCCTTCGGGTTCCCTCCCACTGTAGGTGCTTTTCTGTCCTCTCAATAAATCCTGCTTTCTCCCTTTAAAAAAATAAATTAATTAACATTAACAGATGGGAGCAAAGGAGACTCTTTAAGTCTCTTGAGTTTTTTTAATGTTAGTAATCAATATATTCAAAATATGTTGTAGTTAATTTAGTTCTGAGTTTAACTGGAATTAACTAGATAATCCTTTGAATTTCAGTCTACTTTTAGTTCTAAACAATGAGACCTCTTGCATTAGTTAATCATAAGAGCATATGAACTAAGTTGAATCCCTGCTTCCCTCCCTCCTTTTCTTCTTTCCTTTTTATTATTTCTTTAAAGGACAGGTAGAGGTTGTATGTGTGTATGGTATATGTAGAACATACATGTGTGCATTGTGGAATGGGTAACTCAAGCTCAT